AATCATGTTTTCGTTAAGCTCGTGACATTACAAGGAACAAGGAACGAAAGTTTTCCCGCGGGGCGAGGAAAAAATGCGCGCGAACTCGCGGCGCGTACGCAACGACTGTCCGTTTCCCGCTTTCGACACCGACCTACGTGTCGGGGATAATTTACATGGAAATGAGAATCTGCATTGATTTTACGTCGAAGCCAGTAACAGAACCAACTTCGGTGATAGATTGTCCCGCTACCTGACGTCGATCAAGTTTTCTTCCCTGTCGAAAACCAGAAGGCGGTCGGAATTCCCTCTCCACTCCTCCCCTTCTCCTCTCTTGCTTGCAACCACAGACTGCCTTCCGTCACCGTCCAAACTTCTACGAATGTAAAGTCTCTTCATGCGTGCGCCGATCCTCTAAGCGTCGAAACACAACACACTCTATTCCCTTCCTTTTTATATTTCTTTTTTTTTTTTTTTTTTCATATCATCGTTTTGGAACGAACGAGGAAAGAGCGAGATATCGTTCCAAGTTTTCGACGGGCAAAACAGAAAGAGGGTAGGAGGGAGGGAGGATGGAAATTTCGACGTAAATGAAACGAAACGCGCTGCGAATAAATCTTCTTCTTTTTCTCCCCCTTCCCCCCCCCCTTTCCTTCTTATTCCACTTTTTTTTTCAGGAAACGACATCGAAAGGAAAAGCAATTTCAACCCCCGTCCAGATGCAACCGCATAAATCTTAGAGCCGTAACGCCCAAAGAACAACGCGTCGTTCAGGTTGAACAACGGTTATATCAAGGATTTATGGAAATCGTGGCGAAAAAGAAAAAAAAAAAAAAAAAAAAAAAAAAAGGAAAAAAGAACGAAACACGACATATTCGCCGATAATCGGATATTCGGTGAGTTGCCGATATATTTTTCTTCCATTCTCTCCCCACCGCCGAAAACACGCACGTTGTGTGTTTCGGGGAAACACAGGCCCCGAAATTGCACCATTAATTTAGCCAAACGACGCGCCACACGTCCCCTCTTCCCCCCTCCCCCTTCCCGTAATTTCCAACAGGGTCATTAAAGCGGCGCTTATATTTCTTCTAATCGTATCACGGGAAAAAATCTATCGGCCAGGGAAGTGTTCTGGTATCGGCAACGCTGTAGATCTATATTCGAAACTGCATTGTTTCAATGTTAGAGACCACGTATTCGTCTTACGAAATGATGATATATATATACAGCCACGAATTTTCATTTTCATTTCCGTTCCGCCCTCTCTTAACCCTCTTTCCCCTCTCCGTCTCGGCTCGACGATGAATCATTCGATAAGACGAAGAAAATACGGAATACGATCTTCGATCTTCGATCTTCTCGGGAGACGAGAGACAAAACCGCCTCTCTCCATCGTCCTTCTCTCTTCGTGAGAGAACGGATCGTGGAATCGTGG